GAGGTAAAAAGCTAATATCATAATCACATAACAATACAAAAAATTAGAGAACAATAGTAAAAATTAGAGAAAAAAGATTATGTTTCATATTTATAATGCTCCTCAAATTTGGCACTTCATTCAATTCTTATTGATTAGAATTTTTTACTGGTTAATATCCTTTGTGGATAACCCTTTTTAAGAGGATTGTTTGCTTTTAAGATGCACGACTATTCTTATAAATTAATACAAGATTTTTCAGCATATTTTATCATGATTTACACACTTTATGAAAAACTTTTCAAAATATCACTCATTCTTAAATTACTTAAAGTTAAGTACACTTGAATATAAAATTTTTAAGTGACAAATTACTGAAAAATAGACACATATTATTGATATAAGTGATACTAATTAATTTTTTTAAGTCATTTTCAATCGTATAGTCTCACCTATATACTTAATAACTATTTTTCATTTTGGTGTGTGTAAGATGTTACAATGTCACTATCAAAGGAAGTTAAAGTGAAGATAATAATAATAATAACCAAATAATGACACCAATAATGATTTCTATGACAATGGTGAAAGACATTCCTCACTAAAAACGACATAAACAATGAAAGGGAAAATATATTTGTGTAATGCGACAATGAGTACTCTAAGAATAAAGGGGACGATGACGATAAGAGTTATATAATGAGAATATTAAAAAATGAAGGAGACAAAGGAGGAAAAAATGAAAAAAAAAAAAAAAAGTAAAAAAGAAGAAGAAGAAGGAAATATGACAAAAAATGAAGGAGACAAAGGAGGAAAAAAAGGGGAAAAAAGATGGTTATAGTAGCATTTGATTTAGACTTGCCAATGGTTAGCTATGGTTGATGATACCTTTTGCATTTATTGTGTTGTTAGAGTCGTTTTGATTGACACTAACGTAAACATCAAGTTGAGCCAACACTAAATTTAAAATGTAGCATGTTATTGGTAAATGCTAACCTTTTATTCCACAATAAACCATGCGTTTTGAACAATTGCATTGACATATTATCAACTTAATTAACAAATGTTAGTAGTGCTGATGTTCTGACTGAGTCTGAAAACTATGTTTCTTGTGGTGATATTTTTTTTTTTTGTTGGAGATAAAAAGTATAATTTTGTAGAAGTTTATATTATATATATATATAT